CAGAGCCGGCCCTACCATAAGGCGAACGGAGCAGCCGCTCCAGGCGCTAAGTCCTAGGGGCGCCTCAGTGGTAAAGAAAATTAAAGGAAAAAATATTTTTTTTACTTTTCGATATTTTAATTGCAAGCGTGTGGCCAGTATGTAAATGGCCTTATCTGTTGAGACGCGCGTGGGTGGTGTGCGTGGGCGGGGTTCCACTCCCGGGCGCCATAATAGGATCTCGCTCCATCCTAAAACTTGCCTCGGGCCGGCACTGCCAGAGACAGTGACCAGAATACGGCTCCTGATCATCTCTTAAATATGTTAAACTGATTATCTGATATAAACAAATTTAATATGCTATTTGCTTTCGCATTATTTTTAATTTACATAGCATTTATAATCAATGGATTTGTTATTTATTTTTCAAATTTATTACGCTATATTTTTTAAGCCGGCTATTTTTGGACTATTTTATATCATTTTTTGGTAATTAGGGGAAAATTAATCTGGCAACGTTACTAGTGAACTAACGGCATCCGGTAATCGGCTTAGGAAGCACGAAGGTCGAGGATAAGTTAAATTAAATTTTCGGTATGGTATACAAAACTTAATATAAATTTATTTTTCATGAAATTTAAGTTTATATGAAAGAGTTAAACTGGAAAAAATACTGTTTCGTATATAATCACTTTTATTTATATTATAAAATTTGAAAGCACAAATATAAACTTCTAACTTATTTAAATGTCTATTGTAATATATATTTACAGATTTAAAATGGCCCCTCCTCAAAGTAAACCAATGAAGTATCCTTATACATTTTCAGCAAAATTGGCTCAATTTCCTTACATGTGGCATCTAAAAAATCAATGGTGGATGAGATATTTATGTTATGCCTTTGTAGCAAGTTATCCTCTCTTTCTTTACATCCATAAGAAAGGTAATTAAGATTTTATTAATATAGATAATGTGCTATTGCACACATCAATGCAATAATTTATATTGAGGTTATTCTCAGTATGTATGTTTATATATCATTTACACAGTATTTACACCTTATACTTATTTATACTGAAATTATAAAATGTAGCTTTTTTGATGCACATCTTGTTTCCAAATACTTGAAACGTACAAATGTTTTGCTACAAATTATACAAAATGATAGATGCTCCCTGTTAACTTCCTTACATGGAAATCCATATTTTTAAAATTCTGCAACATATTTTCTTTTTCTTACAATTATTGTTTTTTGGATAATTTGCTTTCTTTTCGTGTATTAAAATGACATTATTAATAAACATGCATAAATCTACTAATTCTTTTTTTGTTGGTTGTGATCCTTAATCCTTTGTGTAACTGCACTATTAATAACAAACCTGTAACCATTAAATATTCAGTAACCAACATTTATTAATCTAACGTTTTTGGTTGTTTTGATTGACCATCTTCAGGAAAATACGTAAAATTTAAATGGCTTTTTTTTTTTTTTTTTTTTTTTTTTTTTTTTTTTTTTTTTTTTTTTTTTTTTTTTTTTTTTTTTTTTTTTTTTTTTTTTTTTTTTTTTTTTTTTTTTTTTTTTTTTTTTTTTTTTTTTTTTTTTTTTTTTTTTTTTTTTTTTTTTTTTTTTTTTTTTTTTTTTTTTTTTTTTTTTTTTTTTTTTTTTTTTTTTTTTTTTTTTTTTTTTTTTTTTTTTTTTTTTTTTTTTTTTTTTTTTTTTTTTTTTTTTTTTTTTTTTTTTTTTTTTTTTTTTTNGTGGCGCTACGGACGGCGGGAAAGTAGTTCGGCTGCCCGATGACATTTAACTTAATTATAGGGGGTTTTTTACGGATACTGTCACAATTTTTTTGCAGTTTTATAAGAATCGTAATTATTGGGACCGTAATTATAGGGGGGTCGACTGTACTTGGTGAAATAAAATATGTGGTGGATGTACTGGTACATACAAAATATTCTTCAATTATATAATATACTTTTAAAGAAAATTATAATTAAATATTGCTTTGCAAAGAAACGTATATAAAAATATAAAATATTTTTTACTTTTTAAATCTTAAAGAAATGCACTTAGTCAAATAGCTCCCTACGAGTGGCTAATGGATGGAATCGAAGATGGTTGCAGAGCGTGCATACACGCGGACTGCCAAATCCCAGGGGTGCTGAGACCGGTCAATGTCAAATATCTCTTTTGTCGCATCATTAGAATATCTCAAAGGACGTGACAGGGCCATTGCAGATTTTAAACATTTCTCACCATAGCTGTTAAAATCTAAATATGTTAAACTTAATAGTCAGTTGTTTTCTAACTAATTTGTTTTAGGACCAGGTGTTGTCCACGGAAATTTCCAAAAATTACAACTTTTCAGTCAGTCTCGTTGAACTGGAAAAATTTCTGTCTTTATTACATCTAATACAGTATTTTGAAGAAATCAGTCCCCACTGTACTCGGCTATAGATTGGTTCGGTTAAGCTTTTGTTGAAGTAATATTCTGGCTCTTTTGTCAGGGTTTTGTTTATGTCCCCGATTCCCTAATCGCTTAATTATTTAACTACTTCTTAAGTAGAAATAAGTCGAAACCGGTTACTTTGTACTCGAATATTTGTAGTCTCAGGAATAGTGGAAAGATAAAGTTTTATGACAAACGGATACATAAATCGTAAATTTAAGGAAAATAAATTCTAGAGCTTTTTCTGTACCACATGCATCTCTCTCATTCATTAAATTTNTTTTTTTGTGAAATTTTAAATTTAATGTATTTTCCTGAAGATGGTCAATCAAAAGAGCTGAAAACATTAGATTAATAAATGTTACTTACTGCATATTTAATGGTTATAGGTTTGTTATCGTTGATCATGATTGATAATCAATCAAGAGTTGTCCATATGGTATATATTTTTTAAAACATTTTAAGTAGAGGAATAACATTTATAAAAAAGTGTATATGGAACACAAAATAAGAATGGTGATGCTATATGGGTTGAGACCCTATATTTGGGAATTGCTCTACTACACTATTGTGTGTAACAAATGCAAAATGATCAAAAGTATAGAACGGGAGTGCCGTGACATTTGATGATAGAGAAGCCGACATCCAGAGCAATCACTCAATTGCGCGTCAGTGATGGTCTAGGGTCCATTCATATTGTTTATTCGATAAGCCAGTAAAAACTGTAGACTTCTCTAAATGCATTTTTAATATCACAATTACATTCCGAATCACTAGCCATGACATAAGGGCTACAATTAAAAATAAAATAATAAAAACTTACAGTCGACCCCCCTATAAGATCATAGATACGTTCCATTTTTTAGGAATCCGATTTCTTACGAGTCGTTCCAATCACAGCCCGACACGTGTAAAGTTTACAGACTACGGCTGATTGAAAGGTTTTCTTCCATAAAATTAATCGATTCTAGACTAATCCGACTCAACATTTCCAAAATACGTATATATTTTTTGGAAATAATCCGTATAAACTACGCTATAAACAAAAAATTGTAGGATTACTTACCGAGNATGTAGTGAGTAAATGGTTTTGCAAGTGTTGCATTTGGGGCTGGATTTAACCCTTTTGTAGGCAAGCCTAGGATGTCACTTTTTTTGACTAAATGTAAATGCTTCTAATACATGGAATTTAATTACAAATTGCATCATGTTTATGTTATGAGTGGTTAAAGCTATCTGTTTGATGTAAATAAATAAATTATTTAAATCATTATATAAATGACTTAATTCCAAATATTGAAATATTTGTATAATTACTTTTTTGTGAAATTCTTATACTATGCCTGCCAATTTCTCCACCTCTCAAAATTGGTACTCTGGACCCATACCTACTGTGCCTATTTAGAAATCCAGTCCCACCTGTATTGATTATTGAAGTGTGGAGTGAGAGTTTTGGTTTTCCACAATGAAAAGTTAAGCAAGAAATACAACATGGCTCCAAAAAAAGAAGATACTTCATTTTAATTAATTAATCTGCATTAAAATAAGCCAAAAAATTGTTATGCTGGTTACTATTTATGCACTCAGTCTGTTTCTGTAGGATAACCGATTTCAATTTGCATGAACCTTGAATGCATAATCACATGCATAATTATTTATGTATGTGTTCCAGAAGTGCATTGTGCTTAAATAATGACTGCACTGTATAATGTATAATGTATTCTTGTTGTAATCATATTGGAAAGAAAGTTTTATAAATGACATTCAAAATATAGTCAAATGAGACTTTTGGGTTAAGCTCCTTTGGAGTTTTGTGTGTGATATTTTATTAAATTTGTGTCTTAATTTTGCACTGGTTTAAAATATTCTATAAAAGTAACATTAATCATATGTTAAACAAGCATATAATTTTAAATTTGAAGTTAATTTCAGTTACCATCTTGTTTGAGAGAAGATTTACAACTATCTTTTTTGAATAAACTTTACCCTTCTCTCAGCAACAGATTCCCCCTATCTGACCAGCAAGGTTGAAACATTTAAATAGGAACATTATTGGAGTGCAATTTGAAAATTGCAAACCTATAAATTTTCACTGGTGTCCCTATATCTTGATTGCTATGTATTAGCTAAATTCAAGTGCACTCACATTCAGTGGTGTAACTCCTTGTACTTCACGACTTAAATTTAATGGAAGATGAATTAATAACTACTGACAAATATAGTGCTTTAAAGGTAATTTGAATAACAATGTAAACTGGTGGTAATTGAGAGACATAGACAGGGCTGCACACAAGCAGAGTACTTGCCTAGGGCTCCACGATGCAACAATAGAAGCTAAAAATGTATACATTTTTATTGCAAAATAATTTTATTTTAATAATGTAATTGAATTATAGTTGATGTCAACTTTTTATAATTTAGGAAAATATTTTGTAACCAAATATCTTTTCTATTTACACTTGACAATGAATAAAAATTTTTTTAGATGGCCTTGCTAAGAAAGTTCACCCAGATCCCACACAATTTAAATTTGGCCCTGGATATAGCTATGGTAAATGACAATAGAACCAAATAGCAGTGGTTGTACTACAATAGAAATGCAAGTGTCCTGGAGTAGACCGTCCAGTCTCTATTGCATAGGAGAAACTGGACCTATGAAAAATTGTCAACACATGACAAACATATATGGACAAAACATACTAAATCTAGCCCAGCTGTAGGGTTTGTGATTTTCATCTAGTGAGTCAAAGAAACCACCAAAAGGTAGATGATTTCAATCTGACCAAGAGATACAACACACCATTCTCACTTGGCTCTTTGGCTATCTGTGACATTTTTCAAACAGAATCACAAAACTTGTGGGACAGTGGACAATGGGATAAATACCTTAACAGTCAGATTGATTACATATAAGATAAAAAATGCACTTATGTTATATTATTGTTGGTCAATTATTAACTGATTATCCTTTATAAATTGCTATAGAGAGAAATAAATATAACTATAAAAATATATGAAAATTGTTACAGAAATTTCTTTTGTTTTTTAATTAAAGGCAGATTTAAAACCCAAAAGTCTCATTTTCTAATAATTGTAGCTACTTTAATCTGTGTCAGGAAAATCTTTGCATTTGTCAATGTAAATTTCCACATTTCAGTATTTTATTATAGTATAGTAATTTATTTTTTAAGTACTTTTATTAGTTTATTTTACATATCAATTTTATAATATCTATTATTTACATTACAATTATAGTGAAGACTTTTTTACTCTGGAAATGTGAACAATATTTTATTAATTGTTTGCTTTCAAATTAGCACATCAATAAAGACGATTTGAAATTTTGTTCAAGATTAAGAGAAGTTTCATTTTATTATAAAATTATATAACATTAAATTACTGTAAGCTAAGATTATAGTTCAGACTTCAGTAAGACAAGTGTCCCATGCACGATTGTTGACTCTTCTATCAAAACTTCTAATGCACATTTGTTCCAAATACAATCCTTTATGAGTTATTTGGTCTCAAAATGTTGGCAGTATCACTCCACTCACTGATAAATTACATATCATTAAGTCAAGCATCGTTTAGCTGTTGCTGCATGTGTTACGTGTTGCCCAACTTTCCAATGACTATATAACAATGCAACTATGTAGTTAATTAAGCAATATAGTATACCTTTCAGTTGATTAATAATGAGCAAGGTGGATGAAACAATAACATTTTCAGTCCAGTAAGCAGGCCATCCTCGTGTGGATGGCCTGTTTACTGGCCTGACAGATAAAAGTGGAAGGGGCAATGGCAAGTGGGCGACAGACAACTGGCACCAGACACGTGGACAACAAAATAAGAGACGAATAAGAGACAAAATACAAAATTTTTTGTTTTCTTCATAAAAATCGCCATTCTTTTCTGCTGATCTGCTACCCAGTAAATTTAAATAAGATTTTTTAAGAAACGAATTAAAAGAGATAAATTACAACATAAATTAAAACAAAAAAGTATAAACATTTTTTGAATTTGTTTTTGAACAATTGCTTTTCTTTGATGTTCGTTAACCTCTTCTGATGTACAATAATTAATGATGCTACATAATCAAAAAATCTTACTGGAACTAAATCAAATAAATAAAATAAGTAAACAATGCCTTTTTAACAGTCCAGCAAAAACATTTAATTCTCTAATAACGTTTTCTACGTTTTTTTTCCGTTGTTCTATGCAACCTCAGTTTAATTTAATTTTATTTAATTTTGTATTATGTAAATTTCAAATACTTTGTTCTTTTTGATATTGGAGTAACTGATGAAGGCTGCTAAAATCGGTAAAAAATGTTATTAAAGAATTAAATGTTTTTGTTGGACTGTTAAAAAGGCGTTGTTTAATTATATTATTTAATGATGCTACAGTATGTTGTTCTAAGACATTTTGTTTTCCTAAGTTGGAAATAACTTGTAGCTGGGTTCATAACTCATACTTCATAAATCTTAACCATGTTTATATTTATATATATTTATGAAATTATAAAATTAATAAAATTATGAAAATTGTTGAAAGATTATACTTGTTTTATGATGTCTGCTGACACCAATGAAGAGAGAAAATTACTTAAAAGATGAAAAGAAGAATGTAATAAATAAATGTATTATTTAATAGAGTTTGTACAATGTTTTCTATTGCACTTGGAAAAATTTAGCCATGCTCTATTTAATAATATTTTGTAAATTTTTTGAGATAAAATCCATAAAAGTTGAACATTTTGATATAAGTAAAGATTTTAATCTATCAAATACTAGAAGATATTGAGTATATTTTTAGAACCTTTAACTGTGATATGTAATAAAGTGGCCATTAACTTAATATAAAATGTTGATTTACTACATTCAATATAAAGAATTCCACTTTATTACTATGATAAAATAATCAAGACATTCAAAAAAATCATATCCCTTCAGCAGATTCAAGGCTTTATCTTATGGTCAGTTTTTAAATGTCTTGTACACATATAACACTTCACTCAGGTGCATTTGGAAAATTTTTTCTTCAAATCAATTTCTGTCATATGACATCATTTTCATTTATTAATTTAAAGAAATGTTTGCTGAAGTGAATTCTCTGAGGCTGAATAGTTTTTTAGATATTTAATATATGTTCAACTTATAATGTAATACAGATTTATTTGTTTTTTAAAATATCATAGGAATAAAACAAAACTGTTCAATTGTAGAATATTGTTAGATGATAATTAATTAAGTTTAAAATTTAAATTTGAAGACAGTCTGTTGAAAAAGGAGTACTGTTTATTCACTTTCAATGTTCCAGATTACAATTTTTTGTCGATCGACTTTTCTCTGTAGGATACTTGGCTGTCAAATTAAAAAACTTTTCTTTGAAAACAATGAAACAATATCCAATTAAAAACAAAAGTTTCTTAAAATTAGGACTGGTAATGCCACTTTTTTTAATTTGATGGTCAAGAAGTCTACATAGAAAGATCAGTTGTCATAAAATTCCATAAAGTGAATAAATGGTGCTCCTTTTTTCAACAGACTTTCTTCAATTTTAAATTAAAAAAAAAAAAACTATTCTTTTGAAATTAATAAAAGATTATTATTGATCAAAATAACTCTGGTTAGTTTAGTATGATTGATAATTTTGGTCTAGTTAACAATCATAGATTAATTTTGAATTAATTCCAAGAGTTTGAGAATATATTTTATTATGCTTACAACATATAACTTTATGTTCATTGTAAATTTCATATTTTTAATAAATATGCAATTGTTATTTCTAGTAAATTCTCCTGAGGCAGTAGCAGCTTGGGAAGAAAAACAAAGACAGATTGGTAATAATTCTATAATTATTTAATTATTCTATAGTTTTTTAAAATGAAAGCACGATTCATTTGGTAGAAATATTTTAAATTAGAATTTTATTGTTGTATTATGTCATTAATCATAAAAGCAAATGTATATTTAATTTTTCCATAATTATAAAAAAGAATTTGTGTTTTTTTATAACAAGTTTGATTTTAAATATAGAACAATAGAACAGTTATACAGAAATGTTAAAGTTATTACTGTATATAGTTTCATTTATTTATTATTTTGTATTATGCTTTCCAAATCAAAATTTTAAATTGAAGTTTTTCTACTTTCATTAGTAATTTGAACAGTTCTCTAAAAGCTTTATGAATTTAATCATCATTGTTTTTTGAAAGTTTTTGAAGATTTTTATATGTTAATGTAAAATCATTTTCAATAATCTCTTTTAAGTTGAATTTTAAGCAAACATTTAACATTTTTCATCAGTAGATTAAAGTTTATTTAACATTTATATTCAATTAATATTAGATTTATTTCATTAAAATGTTTTTGATCTAAATTCATTATTATTAAGTTTTTATTATTTTAAATCATTTGAAAAAATTTTTGTTATGAAAGCTACAAGAATGATAAATTTACTACTAAACAATTTAATTTGCTTATTTGTTTTATTTTAATCATTTTCTTTTTTATTTTTTACAGCTGCTAGAGAACATCATTAACCAAGTATTTAAAGTTAATGAGAATATTGACATAGAATAAATTGAAGAAATAGGATTTAAAATGTTAGATAATGTATAAATCTTCCAAATAAAGTTAAGATGATATTTGGATAATTGACTTGTTATAATTTTTTAATGTAATAATTCTTACATGTTTAGTAAAATCTTAATTGTTTTGTAAGTTTATTTGAGTAGTAATGTAAATATAATTCACTGTTAACATTCAAAATATGGACAAATCAACTTTAAAAGAACAGATTTATACTTCAAAGCAGTGGTGCATTCTCCTATGGGCAATTGTCTGTGGCCCCCACCAACAGGGTCTCAAACAAATCTTTTATAAGAAAATATTTCCCACCAAAAATTTCTCTGAAGAAAAATGTCTGAAGTCAACACTACATGGGACCCTCTCGGGTGGATCTACATGGGGACTAATAGGACTTAAGCCCTGGGCTCCTGACACTTAATTGAATTTAATTTGAGCACTTGACATTAATTGAATTATCATCACCTATTTAGGCATTACAGACATGGAGAAAACCCGGAAAACTCCACGTGGCCAGCCACTCCGAGTGAACCCATGACCAAACTCCCAGTGTTCAGAGTACAAAGACTGCTTGGCCACTGATGGGCTCCTTTTCATTAACAATGAGCACGTATCTTATAGTAAAAAACAGTTAATATTAATATATAATAATAATGATAATTTATATTATTATTTGTATTAACAAAAAATGGGGCCCCATTGGACTTCAATAAGTCCTAGGCTCCAAAAAACCTAGATCCATCCCTGGGCCCTCTAATTTGTTTGGATCCCTTGAAGTTATAACTTTACAGTTACAGCTAATTTCAAGTTAAGTTAAAATACAAGAAATTTATATCATAGTTGATGCTATTGCAAGAAGAGGCCTTTTAAACAAATGTTAGTTTTCTTTTGTTTTTCTTCTTTCCACCCTGTGGGCACTAAGATGGCCTTTTTAGGAAATTCATTATGGGTTCAGCCAGCCCTAAACGTACATACTTGCTAACCTTTACAATGGGGAATAGCTGGGACGTCGGTAGAAAAACGTTGAGAGCATAAAATGAAAAAAATTCTTTAATAACATTGATATTACACAATGCTTAGATTAACATTAAATTTTGTTTATTAAAGGTATTTATCTCTGTATATGATATCTTACAAAGACATTGCCGTAAACACTCAAGAGTATAGGAAAAGGTTTATACTCAAACATCACAATATAAAAAAATTGCTCAACTTTCCCGGCAACATTTAAAACTGCGTATGTGGCGCCATCTGTTACGATATTTTTAATTATTATAGAATGACAAAGAGCTTGATTTTGAGAATAGGGATGGTTTTATAAAAAATTTTAAATGCTAATAAAGAGTAAAATCGTCATTAAGATCGACCCCACTGGAGATAAGACGCGAATCCCCTTTATCTTCCCACCCCGTCGACATCTAACCACCAAATGTTTAATTAATAGCATCAATCCTCAATCTTAGTTCTTTCCCAATTGAAGGAATCTGAGAACGTCGTTTTGGTTCGCTTCAGTCGTTCGTAATAAAATACAATAGCGAGGTTGAGGCGGAAGTTTTAAACCCGAAAACGTGTACGTCGGACGTTCAGCGCCGCTTTCCCATAAGCCTAGAAGTTTGACAATGGTGTTTGGAATGTCGAGCATGATTCCACCGATTATCCAAACAGCATTGTCAAACTTCCAGGCTTACGGGAAAGCGGCGCTGAACGTCCGACATACACGTTTTCGCGTTTAAAACTTTGGCCTCAACCTCGCTAATGTCTTCGGCATATATATTATTAGACTCGTTAAATAAGGTATTTATGTGATAATATCAAATTCTTTAAAAACGCGGTCTGTCCACTGACGGAACATACAAAACACTGCTGAAATTACAAAGACCAAGAGATAGAGGTAATGATATTTTTTCTGATAGATTAATGTTTGTTATTTGATATCTGAACTTTCTATTCTAACTTTCTGAAGTTTCTATATATTAAGATTTAACATTGCAGCATTAATTATTGAATATAACCGAATTGAACAGTTTTCTGTCCGAACTAAGAATTATATCGAACGCAAACCAATGCTAGTAGTTTGTGTTCGTTTTAATTAGTAACGAACTCGTTAGTAAGTTTGTTCATAATCATTTTTGATGCTACTTTTAGTTAGGATTAGTTTTTTATTAAGATTGTTAATCATCATATTCTGATTTTGTCCCAGGAAAAAAAAACTCCTACTAAATTTGCCGGGCTATTTTTGTGTCGATTCTCGTACAATCACGTGCTTCTAGAGGAAAAGAGGCAGTGACATCAAAATTACGTGACAGCTGCAGCCAATTACCATGATGATTCACTCCTAAGAGCATGTCCAACTAGTAAATGTAATTTTCATTTTATTATGCAATATTTATTCAATTTTATTTTTTGTTTTAAAGCTTTAGTTTATTGTTAGGCATTTAATTGTATTATTTTTACCTTAAATTATGTGTATTTTTTGTTTTAAGTTAATCAAAATTGGTAGAGGGTAAGGCGATATTATGGAATCCACAGGTATTATGGAACCCCTCCATTTCAGACTGATAATAGATGCGAACTCCAGCAAATTGCGGCTGAACTGCACTGGGCAGACATCCATAGCAAGGGGGGAGTCTCCCACTTCAGTTATGCAGTTGCGCTCAATGAAACAGGAAGTTTGTTTTTTGCAATTCCAAACTTATGAATGGTAAGTGAATTTAATTACTTCTAAAATATAAATCATGTAGTTGTAGGTTCCCTGGTGAATGTGTCCTGTTCTAGAGGCCTAGGAGTAGGCCTACATGTTAGTCTGTCTGATATTCACGTTTTTAAAGTTTGGTGTCGACAAAAATTAAAACTGTAAATAAGTAGATCTAGTTAAATTCTGGGTTATTTTGGTTAAAAAAAACTGTTCTGGATAGATAAGTGTTCTTTTAAACTGATTTTTTCGAATTGTTTTGAAAATTAAAAATAAAAGAAATGCGTAGAGCCTAACTGAACAAGCCAAAAAAAAAGCCCGAAGAGACAAACATGCAGTCAGGAGAAAATGGCAAAGGCAGTGAGTATGGTAAGGGACAAGAAAATGGAGCTGAAGAAAGTTGCAAAGTTTTATGAGGTGTCAAAAACTACTTTGCGAACTCTCTCTTTGCAAGCAAACATTCGCCCGGAGAAATTTGTGAAAAAGACACTAGTTAGAAAGCCAATTCTTCCTGAGAATATCGAAAAAGAGCCGGTGGAATATATATTGTTGATGGAGGTCATATATTTTTACTGTTAAAGCACTTTTTCGATAAAATACATTGGAGTAAATGATTTTGTAATTAATTAACTTTTTTGTACTTTTCTATTTGTTTTTGAATACACTAAAGCATGTTTTTGAAAACATACAATGGGGTTCCATATTACCACCCGGTTTCCCAAAAACTACTTTTTGACTTTTTCTACAGAAGCCTTCAAAAACTATATTTATATTTATGCTAGCGAAAAATCCAATTAGTAACATTTAGTTCAATAATTAATTACCAGTACTTTTCGCACAAAAATGTGGGCGTAGTTATGATATCTTGTTTACAATTCACTATAATGTAAATGGTGTTCCATAACACTACCTTCTCCTATATTATTAATTCGCTTTCCATTATTTGTAGTAGGAAAAATTGATTCGGAGTTCGAACGTCTTTTTAGAATGAATTAAATTCGAAGTACGAGTCACTACTGTATTTTTAAATAAACGAAAATACAGATGCTTACGTATGATTTTAAAAAATGTAAACATAAATATTGATTTTATCAAATTATATACATTTATTAAAATTATATACATATATTTCTAT